TAGGCTAGGGGGAAAACCCCTCACTAAAACAAATACATTTGCTTGGGGTTAAACCCCTCGCAAAACACAAAATATGGAGAAAAAAAATAAAAACAATTAGCTAGGGGATACCCCTCGCAAATAAGGAGGGAACATTTTTTGAAATTTGAAATATGCTTTTACTAGGGGTCAGCGCAAATTCTGGTGGGACGGGTGGAAATTTATGAGGGGGATCCCCTCACCACCACACGCTTCACAATTTGCGAGGGGCACCCCCTCACCATGTATCCTACTTTAGTCAAATCCCAATGAAAAGACATTTATTCTTCTGCCAAATTGTCTGCCACACGCCAACACTGGCTAGGGGGAGCCCCTCGCAAATGAGACTAATAAATATCACATTTAATCCAAAACTCTTCAGTTTTCTTCTCTTTCTTCCTCCATTTCTTCTTCAATGTTTTTCCTACATATTCTTCTTCTTCTCCTTTCATGTTCCACCATTTTTGTCCCACTTCATAAAAGTAAGATTTTTAATATGTTATATTATTTTCGTATTTAAAATTTATTTTATTGTTTAGATTTATTAATTAAATTTTTTTATTTATTTGTTGTGTTGCATGTACTGTGAATAATATATAAAGTTATCAAACTTTTGTCAAGAGGAGCTACGAATTTGGGAGAGCATTAAAAGGTACACACTTCTGTTTTTTCTTAAAATTTTAGATATATTTTTATTTCGAAATTTATGTTGATGTTGGTGGCTCTTGATGTATAAGAAAACTGTAAAATAATTGTTAAGTTTTCCGAAATTTTAGTATATTATTTTTGAAAATATTATTTTTATTTTTTAAGTTTTTCAGATTTATATTATAATAGTTTTAAAATAATTGTTAAAAAAAACTGTAAAAATTAATTTTATTTATATTATGTTATATTTAATTTACAATATAATATAATAAGAGTGTATTGTAAAGAAAATATAAGAAAAATGATAATAGTATATTTTTATTTTGTTTTACATTATAAAGAAAATATATTTTGTTGAACATATTATATTATAAAAATAATTATATTAGATTTAATTTATATTATAAAACAGATCTTATAAACAGATTTTAGAAATAGATTTATAATACAATATTATAAACCAGTTTATTAAAATATTTATAAAACAGATTTATTAAAATATTTATAAAACAGATTTATTAAAATATTAATATTATATATTATTTAATTAAATCAGTATATATATTTAATTATAAAATAGATTTTAATTAAAACAGTATATATATAATAGATTTTAATATTTATATTAGTATATAACAGTATATTTTAATATTTATATTATTTTCGTATTATATATTATTTAAGTAAAACAGTGTGTGTATATATATATATATATATATATATATATATATATATATATATATATATATATATATATATATATATATATATATATATATATATATATATATATATATATATATATATATATATATATATATATATATATATATATATATATATATATATATATATATATATATATATATATATATATATATATATATATATATATATATATATATATATATATATATATATATATATATATATATATATATATATATATATATATATATATATATATATATAAAACAGATTTTAATTATATAAAATAATATTATATAAAACAATACATTAAAATAGCATATATATTTAATTATAATATAATTATATTATTCTAATTATAATAATATAATTAAATAATATAATTATAAAATGTAATAAAAATTTATTATATAATTATATTATTATTCTAATATAATTATAACAATATAATTAAAATAATATAATTATAAATTTTAAAAAAAACGTGGGACAGCTGGCTAGGGGTTAACCCCTCGCAAATTTCAAAACGTGGGACAGCTGGCTAGGGGCTTAACCCCTCGCAAATGTATGACACAGACAACTAGGGGTTTCGCCCCTCACTAAATTCAAAAACCACGTAATTAGCTAGGGGATAATCCCCTCGCAAACGCATCTGACACTTATGAGCCCCTCTGTGGCTCTAGTCTGTGTCTATGTCTGTGGTGTAGCAGACTGATTTTTTTCTATTACATTTTGCGAGGGGCTTATCCCCTAGCCATTTTTGCGAGGGGCTTATCCCCTAGCCAATAATTTGCGATGCCCTGATTAGGTAGGGGCCCTGTCCCCTCACAAGTTGTTGTTTTGTGATGTGTTATTTGGTTTAGTGAGGGGTTTAACCCCTAGCTAAATCCGATTTTTCTTGTAGTGATCTTTGTCTGGTACAACAGGTGTTGCTATTTTATATCTCTTAACAGAGGTGTTTTGGTTTGATGAGATCCTCGTGGATATACCTCATCAGTATGCACAGGTCAAAGAGATTTATTAGGAACAAAATGCAGATTTAATTGAATTTCATAAAAAAGATCTTAGAGACTTTTTAGGAAACTATAAAATATTTGTTTTTATTTTTATGAAGAAGATTCTGCAAAAGATTTATTATGAGAAGATTTGATTGGCAAACATTTTGGTAAAACTAGGTATAATCACAAGATGTCCTATAGGATGTCGTGACATCTGTCTGTCATGAATATGTTTGTGTGTCCATATCTTTTTGTGCAAGCTTGCTGCACTATTCTAGTGTAGAACCTACGTGTTTTTGGTGGTTTTCTAAAGGCGTTTCTGATACACTTATTATGGATCAGATTTGATTTGATATAGAGTTATTATCAGAAGATTGATTGAAGATTGGAAGAATGATATGATTATATTTGATTGATCAAATCAAATATGTTGCAGTTTATGAAGATTGAAATCTTCTCTTCCTGCTGTTACTTTTGGCACAGCCCAAGCCCATTCTCATTGCTATTTAAGGAGGCGAAAACCCTAACTTAAAACAAGCATTCACAACAAGAAGATCTTGGGTGCAAAATAAGGGTTTAGGATTTTAAGAGTCTCTTGTATGTGTGACTTTGTAAGTCACCCTTTGTATCTTTTGATGCATCGTGGTAGACATATTTATGTGTTAGTTTTGTGAGCCATTCACTCATTGATTAATGTATGAACTGGACTAGGTTGTTAATTGTAATTTGTCCACTCAAAGCTTGTAAGCAAGAGTGTATTGTCCTTGATTGAAGCTGTTAAGCAAGATCAAGTATTGTCTTTGAAGTGTGTCTTCTAAATCTTATTCATTTGTTGTTATCACTGCTGTGATTGAGGGGAGTGAGAGGGGTCCCATATCTAAGAGTGTCCTAGGTAGGGATTAAGTGAGGGGTTGTAAACTGGGAGTTTAGCTCTGAATTAATACTACTGATAGTGGATTTTCTTATTGGCTTGGTAGCCCCCAAATGTAGGTGATGTTGCACCAAACTAGGTTAACAATTCATTGTGTTATTTATCTTTTAGCAGAGATCTATGTTCTTAACATCTCTTAGAACATCTGAGATCTGCATACCAGAATTTCAGTTAGTAATGGTGATAAAGATCAGTTCTTTTCCGCTCCCTTTCTGGATTGGTTATTACTTAATATGTCTAAGAACTTTCATCACTATGTCCCCGATTGGGCAGCTTTATGGGCCACTAGCTATCAACTCATTTGGACCTGGTCAAATAAAAAGCTCCATAAGCTTCCTTTTGTTTTTCCTAACAATTTGATTATTGAAATTCGAAAGCAAGACTCGCTCTACAGATTTAGCAGGAGTTAATATTCATAGACTTTAACCTGTTATTAAGCATCCTACTGCTATTTTGTGGTGCCCTCTTTCTTTGGGCTGGATCTGTCTCACTTCGGATGACTCATGTAATGGCAATCTTGATGCTAGTTGTGGGGGGATTTTTTGGAATAACTTTGAGAGGTGGCTTGGTGGTTTTCACAAATTCCTTGGTAAGTGTAATAGTATCTCTGTTGAATACTAGAGAGTTTTTTCTAGTTTGGGTTTTGCTTGGTAGAATAACTTCAAGAAGATTATTGTCCAAGTGGATAACAAGACTGTTGATGATGTCGTTGTTGAGTCTGGTCCGGTTCTCAGACATGGTTTATCCTTAGCTAGGCGTATTCTTCGCCACTCTCGTAAGTTTGAGTTTGTTATTTTTAAGCATGTTCTTAGAGAAACCAACAAATGCACTGATTTCTTGGCTAACTTGAATTTGCCTAGATTAGATGATAGAATTTAATTGAATGCTTGCCTGATTGATCTTAGTCAATTATTAAAAAATGATTGTATTGTTTCATCTGTTAGGCTTGTTGCCTAGTTTTTCTTGTCTTGAACCTTTTGCCCTCTATTCTTACTAAATAAATCTAAAATTATTGATGTATATCAATAACATGAAAATATAGTAAATAACTATAAAACTTAAGTCTTAACCTCACAATAATACTCATACATGAAATTCTTTATACCTAAAGTGATAAACATAAATCTTTTATACCTTAAGTAATTAAGTACTAGTGTTTAATTTATCATATAAGTTCATGAAATATTTGCTAAATCTAATCTTTTATATGCTTAAAGTAATTAAGTAACCGCAACCTAAGAAACTAAAATATTGTCATACATAAAACATTAAAATGGTCTAATCTTTATCCAAATATACTTTTAGAGGCACACCATTTGCAATTTCAAAAACCTTATACCTTACCTAATAAGAGAATGAGTACATAATAGTATCAAAAATACACAAACAATTCTTTAATAGGTAGAAATAATGGTCCATGGTTGAACATATATATCTGTGCTCATGATTTCACCTTAACCTTCACTTTCCCAATCAAAATAAAAATATAAAAATAAATAAATAAAGAGATAGAAATAAAGATTTAGACCTACTTTTTCACTCTGCTCCACAATTTATAAATAAAATTAATGAATGCCATTTTTATTGGATGACTTAGTCATATATTTATATAACTATGTCCCTTCCATCACTCTTCGAACTGTAACCGTATGTAGTGCAGTGTTCATCTCTCATCTTTTTTCTCAGTCAAACTTTTCATGGCTAAGAGATCTCATAAAACCACTTCTTCTTCTTCTTCTTCTTCTACCACCACCATGCTCAAACGTAAACGTAAAACCATCCCTAGAAACTCACCTCCACAAAGAAGCTCTATCTATAGAGGTGTCACAAGGTTATATATATTTATATTTTTCTTTTTTTTTTGTGTTTTTCTGTTTTTGTTTGTGTTTTTAATTTATTTTATTGTTCTAGACATCGTTGGACTGGTCGATATGAAGCTCATTTGTGGGATAAGAATTGTTGGAACCAATCACAAAGCAAGAAAGGAAGACAAGGTAATTCAATTCTATGATCATATTATTGTTAAGTTTTATTCTTTTGATCTCATTCATCACTTTTTGTTTTTTTGTTTTTCAATAATGGCAATGGAAATCAATGGATGCAGTATATCTAGGTATGATTAGTGTCTTAATTATTTAATTAGTGTGTTAATTATTTTGATTTTGAATAAAATAGTTGTTGAGAATTGAAGGTGGGATCAAAAGATTTAAATGAGTAGTAAAAAGTTGGGTTTGTGATTTAGGGGCTTATGATGATGAAGAAGCTGCAGCACGTGCCTATGACTTGGCAGCATTGAAGTATTGGGGCCAAGCCACAACTCTAAACTTTCAAGTAAATTTTATCCTCCGCGTAATTATAGAGATTAATCATTCCGTCTTAAGAATTTTAGAGATTACGAGTTTTTTATATATAAATATGTTTTTAGGTATCAAATTATCAAGAGGAGCTGAAAGAGATGGAGGGACAATCAAAAGAAGAATATATTGGATCCTTAAGAAGGTTTAGTTAATACTAAAAATGGAGGATTTAGATGAGTTTGAATATGATATTTATGAATGAATTTATAAAATGCAGAAAAAGCAGTGGATTTTCAAGAGGAGTCTCAAAATACAGAGGTGTAGCAAGGTACTACATAGTATTTCAATGCAGTGATTATTAGAAAGAATTAGACAATTTGATCATTCTGCTTATATTAGAATGAAAAAAATATAATAGTAAATGATAGAATTGAAGGAAGATTATATCGTTTTATTTCACTCGATTAAATCTAATTTTAAATAATTTAAATAATAAAATATTATTTTATTTCATTCTATTCTATTCAGTTTCTTTCTATTTCATCGATTCAAACAAAATCTTAATTTAAAAAATACATTCTTTTTAACTAAGTAATAGAAAAAAATAATTGAGATAATTGATAAGGAGGCGACTCCTAATCCATCGTGAATACAAAGTAATTTTGTTAAGTCATTAAAATTTAATTTAATTATAAAAAAATAAAAGAGAAAAAGAAAATAGTTGAACTATTTTAATGTGAAAAGGGGACTAGAAGAAAAAAAAAATTAGAAGAGAGAATATATGTGATGTGAAAAGGAATGATTAATGAAAGAAAAGATGTAAGTAATTAAGAATTCTATTTCAAAACTTTGGAATTTCTTGTTTCTATAGTCAATTTTGTACCAAAAAATCTAGTCAATTAATTAAGAACGAACTAGAGATTGGGATTTAATTCTAACTCATTTAAAATAAAATAAAAAAATATTTTTGATTAGAGTTGAAGAAAATAAAATAAAAAAATAAGTATTTGACATCTAAAATGTTAAAGAGAATGAAGAAAGTCATACCTATATTAAATGGAAAATGCTAATGAGTGCTTTCAGGGCATTGGTTAAGAGATTAAAATGGTAAGTTAGACATTATTTACGAGATTGAAAATATATTTTTTTCCTTTCTAAATATATGTGTATTCAATGCCTGAAAAGAGAAATAATCAGACTTTTTAAAGAATATTGTGTGTATTGAGTGAACTAAATATATCATATTTTTTTTATTTAAAATTCTTAACTAGTGCTCTGAGGGCACTGGTTAGGCTGACCCATATTAAATATATATTGGATAAACTTTAGGTTGAATGTTATGATTTGTGTATGCAAGTTAGTGGGTGACAAATGGGTAGCCACCACCATTATGGTCCATACCTTTCCTATTGACATTTACATATTCCCATCCATATATTTAATTTTCAGTAATTAATTTGGTGGCAAATCCTCTTTTTTTTTATTATTTTTTTTAATATTTATGATAATTTAGACACCACCACAATGGAAGATGGGAAGCTCGAATTGGCAGAGTCTTTGGCAACAAATACTTATACCTTGGAACTTATGGTAATTCTACTCACTCTATCATTTTATTTTATTTTTATGATTACTAAAACAAATATTCCAAGGCATTAATTTGGACGAAAATTGGTTTTAGAAAGTCATTTTCATGAATTTTAGGGTATCATTCTTCCCCATTTTTATGGACATAGGTGTATGGCTTTACATATTTAGATTTGGTTGCATTTAAGACTCTCATGTGTTCTTATGACACGTGGAACCAAAATCTTTAAAAATTTTATATTTTGAATCAAACACTTAAATTTTGACTCGCAATTGAAGCCACCATCTAATAAAAAAAGTATTTGAACGGTGCCTGCCTTGAAATGCCAACAAGAAAAATAACCTACTACATTTTCAAAATGGTCCTACATTACATACTCAAATCTAATCTAGTAGCTTGTAGTATTGATCACCAAACTTCAACTACTTAGTTAATACACTAAAAATTTCTACTATTTTTCTCCCACTTCTTTTGACTCAATTGATTAATTTGAATATTTTGTGGAACAGCTACACAAGAAGAAGCAGCCATAGCATATGACATGGCAGCAATAGAATATAGAGGACTTAACGCGGTTACAAATTTTGATCTTAGTCGATATATCAATAATGATAACAACATCAATCATAATCAAAACCCTAGCAATAATAATCGTGAGCTGGATCTCAATCAAGAACTAGTTGATGCAGGTGACACGTCAATGACATCTTCTGATGTTGATCTTATCTTAAACTCGTCAAAATTCAAGGAAATGTTAGATATTACAACTACTCCGTCGTCTTCGATTGAAGATAGTTACACTCCGCCGCTTGTTGAGTCAAATCCGCCGCATCGGAATTTTCCTGAAGATATTCAAACAATCTTTGAAACACAATATTCAAGCATCTACAGTGAGAATGATGATGACTTGATATTTGGTGACTTGATCTCAATTGATGCACCAATTTTTCATTATGGCCTTGATGCTTGATTACAACGAAGAGTTGTGTACAAGTTTCATCAACCAAAAAAAATTAGCAAGAAAAAAAAAATGTAGAATGGGAGATTCTTTAAAGAGAAAAGAATAATTTGTTATAACAATTTGGTAAGATTGCATGTAAGGGTTTTATATTAACAATTTAGTTTTATCATTTGTATGTCCTAGTCTATTTTATTAGCTTTTATTTTATTTAAATGGAACATTAATTTTATAAATATATTAATTGCCTGCCTTTTCACATAACTTTCATTTTTGTTAATTAATCATCGTTAAGGGGGTGATGTGGCTAAAATAAGTACACATCATTATTAGTCTTTAAACTACAGTCTACAAAATAGACATTGATATAGGAAATTAAAATGGTAAATATTTGTATCTTAAAATATATTCAAATTGAAAAAGAAAAAAAATAGTAAAAAAAATTATGACCGAATATTAAATTTAGAAAAAATAAAATTTCACAAATTGAACCCGTAAAACTATTAAACTAACTTAAATTATTTGAACAAAGAGTAGTATTTAAACCACTAAGAGCAACTTTAGTGCAAAGTTGTTAAACCAAAATTTTGTATAGCTTATGTTAGTAATAAATAATTTCCATTATAGTAGAGCTGACATGTCATCTAAGTTAACTAAAATTTAGTTCTCATCATCTATATAGTTAACATTAACTATGTAAAATATATTATAATATTATTTATTTAATTAATAAAATATTCTAACAGCATTAAAATAATGACATGATATTTGAAAATAGTGAGGTCAAATTTTAGTTTTTTATAAACAACCATCATTAAAGTAAAAACTACTCAAATCAACTATAAATTTTTTAAATCCTACAAAACACTTTGGACCCACAAAAAATATCTTAGTTTACCCATTTAATTTACTCCCATTAAAGATGCTCTAACTCAAAGTGAAACCATGTGGCAGGGGTTCTCATCGAATTCAATTCAAAATTTGGCATCAAACATCAACAAAATCACATTTGTTAGATATGTCCTTGGTACTGGTAGTACTACTTTTCCCTGTTTATCTTAAAAATATGCTAATTTTGGTAATAAAACAAAGGATTTGTATAACAATTATTTTTAAAAACAAAAGCAATGGAAAACATTTAGACATACTTCAAAAAGACAATAGAATTTTTCATAGATCTTGTAATTACGAGTATAATTACTTGTGACAACAAAACGAGTTCGCAATGAAATTCTTTAACATGCTAAAAGATCACAATACAGCCCTCATATTTGGTTTATTTATTAATCATGCCTACTTGTAAGACTAGTATAGTTAATTACTAGGGGTAGTAGCATAAGTTGAAAATTAAAAGAGGCATTTCTAGTTCTATTTTGAATTCAGTAATTCAAGTTTCTTTTGCTTCAAACATAATCACATTATTTTGAAAATGTAACAGCAAACAACATATTTGAAATAAGTTGCTAATAAAAGAGACACATCATTTGCCCTGAATAAGTGATAATCTAAAAATGATATGAAAGAACCATGAAAATAACAATCTTTTCAGTAGCAATATATATATTTCAAAAAGAAACCATCTATCAAAAGCAAGTAACATGGAAGGTAAAGTATACTTCGTTAAATATTCAGCTGATAAATTATGAGAGCCGAGATAGCAATAAACTTATAACGTGGCCTCATTATTCTCTCATATGTGAAACCATGACCGATATAAACTTGAGTAATAAGCAAACTCGCCCACCAAAATCATACCAAAACTGGTTATGAGCAACATCACTAAATGTCAAGGAAACATATACAAATGCAACAACCAACATTTGCTCTGCCTGCAGCAAACTCTTCTATCCATTGAGAAAAAGGACTATCTTATATGTCAATGCATCAAATAAATTAAAACTGGGAACTCAATTTGTTGCACTGTTGCATTGGCAAAAGAGCAGACTGCAACAACAGAAAACAGAGTTAGATTTCAATTGCTGCTAAAGGTAGTCTTCCGGGAGCAAAATAGAATATGCAAAAACAAACAAACCTGCCTTTTGAGTAAAACTCAGTCATCCAGGTAATAATAAGAACCAGCGTGCTTTTGCTCTCTATCCTTGGTTGAATCAAGTTTGTTGATCCTTGGGCGGAAATTAGTTGGGTCTCTTCTAAATGTGATATCAAGATGCTGCAACAGTGATGATTACATTAGGCAATCATACAAACAAATGCCACAACATAATTTTATTTTTCTGAATACATTATACTTTAATTTTTTTTTTAAGTAAAGGAACTGTTGAAAAATAGTGACACTTACAGATAAGAAAAGATTCATCCCAGTCAGCAGCGATTGTGGACAATTTGCCTGACAATCAATTGAAGGTTGACCCTCATAGACAATAACTCTGTCAGCAAGATAAGTTGCCATGATGAAATCATGCTCGACCACAAAGGCTGTTTTCTTTGCATGAAGAATAAACCTTTTGATGACTTTTGCAGCAACAATACGTTGTTCAGAATCAAGATATGCACTTGGCTCATCTATCAGATAAATGTCTGCAGGCTGTTGTGGCAAGAGGATAGCAACCAATCAAAAAACTATAAATGCTATTTAGTTTGAAATGAATAGGATTGTACATCTCAAGTAGGAAAACAAACACACAACAAAGCCAAGAGATATAATTGCAAAAATCTTGCCGCGATGTCAGCACAAATAGAATCCTATAGACTACTGTAGAACTAATAGTACAGTTATGGATCAGGAATTCAATTAGTATTTACATTGAATTAAATCGTATACACTTTAAGAGATTAAAAAAATAACTGTCTCAACAAATCCAAAAACTTTTGCATTTAACTTGTTTTGGTTGTATGGAAAGAAATCCAGCTCATATCACCAACATGGTTTTGGCTTCTCAAAAGTGGGAAGTAGAACTCAATATTAAGAGCATATTAGGAATTAATATACATGTATCTCTTAATGAGTTCGTTAGCTAGGTTCTAGTTATTAAGTTGCAACTCAGTGCTGAGTTGTCACGATAACTCAGCATCAGCAGCACATCAGTATTTCTATAAATACTGGTTGATTTGATGTAACTAATTTCACTAATTCTGTTACATTCAATACAACAGATTCATTCCTTTCTCTCAATTATGCACGTGCACTCTTTCTCCTTTACTAATACTTAACCATAGACAAAATATTAAACAGTTGATGCATATCTATAACAAATCATAGACTTCACATAAGGATAAAACCCTTTGAGTTTGTCATCATTCAAAAGTAAATTGCTCACTCTGAAAGGAAATTATAAAGGAAACACTCGTATAAAGGAAACAATGAAGCTATGCAAAAAATTAAGGAAATAAAAAACATAACAGACACTAGAGTTAAGGTGCACAAGCAATCTCGTGCAGTTCTCAAGGATGAAACTTAAAATACCTTTCCGAGACAAAGGCATAAGGCAACTCTTTGCAATTCTCCACCAGAAAGATTCACAACTTCTTGGTCCATCAACTGTTCGATAAGTAGGGGTTTCATCACATCTGACATAAACTGAGGATGAGTATATGCATCACGAATTCTTTGATGTAGCAGGTGTCTAACAGTTGATTGGAACTTAGGGCTAATTTTCTGAGGTTTGTATGAAACATTGAACTCAGGCATCTCCACCTCAGATCCACCTTCTATAACGTCAGGTTTCAATAAACCAGCCTAAACAAAAGGTGAAGGTTTAGAGATGATAAAAACTATGCAGTATTGCAGTTTGATAAATAAAAAAGAATAAAGTATACCAGCATTCGAATGAATGTTGTCTTTCCTGTCCCATTCTCACCAAGCATCACAACAATCTGAGAATCCGTAAATTCCCCTTCAACTACACGAAGCCTGAAATTGCCTTGAGTTTTGGTCATGGTTGGGTATTTGTATCGAGCATATGCTTGAGCCTCTTCAGCAGTTTCCTGAGGAGTCTCTGCAACCTAGACACAACATAAATCAAGGTTAATTTGATAAATGTGGTGTTTTATTTAAAAAAGAAAAAATCGAGAACAGAAAATCTGAGTAACAAAACTTAAACCCTATATCTAATTTATTAGAATACTTTCATTTTGAGGTGCTGAAAGACTTCACATAAAATAATATAAAAGGTCAAATAACAACTATACTGCAGGTTCTTTCATTAAATTCTAAATAAGTGACTTATATGCTCTTATGACCCCATTAAGTCTTTTAATATTTATGATACATTAAATACTTGAAAACTTGGACAGACTACAATATTCAATTGAAAGATAATATAATATTGCTCAATAAGTTTCTCTACATCATTTAAGTTTTAAATAAAAAAATATAATGGAAGTGATTGGGGGGCTTATTTAGAAGAAAAATTAGGAAATCTCTAAACTATGAAGACCTAAATAAAAATTCTAACATAATATAAGGACTTAGGAATACAAATTAATCTAATATAAATGATGCAACACAGAAGGAAATATTTGCTGTGTTTATTTGAATAAAAATTTTTGCTAAATATATTTAGAAACTAAATACTTTCAGCACTACTTTACTCAATTCTATTTTTGAATGTAAAAACAAACACCGCTGAATAAATCTCAGTGCTGAAATATTCATTTTACACCCAAATTGGCTTTAAATTCTGTAAATGGGAGGTGGGAGATAGATTATATAAATACCTTGAAGGTAAGAGAGTCCTCCCGAAACCTAAGATTTTCTGTCGGAACAAAGCCAGACAAGAAGATATTAATTCCTTCTCTGACTGAAAAAGGAAGTGTTACAACTCCATAAGCACCAGGTTTGCCATACAAACAGCAAATAAAGTCTGATAAGTAGTCCAAGACACTAAGATCGTGCTCAACAACAATTACATAGCTGAAAAAAAGACAAATTGCAAATAAAATAAAGATTTATCTTGACCGGAAATCAAGGAGTACACATAATGATATTAAAAATACTTTAAGTCGAAATTACTGAGAAAATATACAAACCTATTAGGCCTTAGTAATGATCGGACAACTTGTGCCGCTTTCAGCCTCTGTTTCACATCAAGATAACTGGAAGGTTCGTCAAACATGTATATCTCAGCATTTTGGATGGCAACAACCGCAATTGCAAACCTTTGGAGCTCACCCCCCGAAAGATCACCAACATTACGATCTATAACTTGATTAAGTTCAAGATCAGCACAGAGCTCTTCCTTCATATCTCTTTCATTTTTTTGGTCTAGCACTTGCCCTACATTCCCTTGCACTGCTTTTGGAATGTGATCAACATACTGAGGCTTGATGATAGCCTGTATAATAATATATTGAAAATAAGCACATTTAGAAGACGGAAGGAAAATAAATATCAGTGACACACTATCTTATCAAAACAAATTACAAAAACAGCTAAATTTAAATTAATGAACATTCAGAAAACTGTAAGCACAACAAATGCCAGGCTATCAAGTAACAGATAAAAATGTTTCTAAAAAATAAGGGATTCTGAAGTGATTGTTATAATGCTACATTTTTCTAGTACTGAATCAGTACTGAAACATGAAATCAGATATACTCCTTCTGCCCCAGTATATAAGACCCTCTAATAAGATTTTATTGTCCCTCTTCAAATTTCACAAGATGCATTAATTATTTTTTTACACAAAAATACCCCTGGTTAAATAAAAAAGTATTAAAAGACCATCCATTTTGGCAAGAGAATGTACATTATTGACAAATTCAATTAATGTAAGAACTAGTTTTATTAATTCCTGTGTTTTGACCGATATGGACTTACATACAGGGACAGAGGTAGTAACTAACTACAGATTTCAAGGCTCTCAAACAATGTTCGTATTCTCTATGATAAGGTCTTCCAATCTGTAATACTGAAGTACTTTGATGATATGGTTAATAATAAACTGACAGTATCAAAGGTGAACTTGGATTTTTCCCAGGTCTGCAAACATGATCTAAGCTGTAGTATCTTACCAGACACCTACTAGTACTTACTTCTACATAGCAATGCCACAGTCACAACAAATTCCAGTCAATGTCAACATGATAAACTGTGAATTTGTGTACCCCTTCTCAATTAAAGAATCCTAGGTTCATGATAATTAATAAATAGTCTGGTCAAAGAATATAAAGAACACAAAAACTAATTTGTAACAGAAAAAATTACAGGTTAGAGAAACACATAATCACTGTTTCGTACAGCCACCAAGTCAAAATCATTAAGATATCCCTGAACATGTACATAATGATATTGAATAAGGACATAGACATCACCTTCAAATCATCCTCTAGAATGCGAGTAAAGTAATTCTGTAATTCAGATCCTCGAAAATAGGTCAAAATTTCCTGCCAATCAGGAGGGTTCTACAAACAAAAAGCTAAGTTAAAATGAATGCAATAAAACGTCACACTTGTCTGTCCACATTAAAAATAAAAATAAAACTAATTAGGTTCTTACAGTGAAACGACCCAAGTTTGGCTTCAACTTTCCAGCCAAAACTTTGAGGGCGGTGGACTTTCCAATTCCATTAGTCCCAACCAAACCAAGCACTTGCCCTGGCCTCGGAACCGGCAACCTACAATTACAACTCTTATAATTAAAAAAAAGAACAACATACTAACAGAAACTTCTCAGGAAAACGAGCTGAATTACACACCTGTGAAGCTTAAAAGTATTAGGACCATATCGGTGAGTGGTGTCTTTGTCCAAATCCTTAGGCAAGTTGATAATCTGGATAGCTTCAAAAGGACATTTCTACACCAATGCATAACCAACAAACAAACTCATCAATATAAACCCCACACTATTATCTATCAACAAAGTTAACAACAGGATAACAGAATCTTCAATACCTTAACACAAATACCGCATCCAATGCACAATTCCTCGGATATGTAAGCAATCTTCGATTGAGAAGTAACCTCAATACACAATCTACCTGTAATTACACAGATAATTACTCATAATTACTCAGATCATCGAAATTAAAACAACAAAAAATCGAATCTAAGGTTGAAGTGAAAAAATGGATCTTACCGGTTCTGACAACAGGGCAACTCTTCTTACACTCCTGACGACACTTTTTGGGCTTGCATCTGTCGTTGCTGACGATGGCAATACGCGTCAATCGATCTGACATGTTGCCCTACACCACCTTAATCGACGATTGAACGAAGGTGGAGATTGGGTGGGAGAGAGAAAAGGCGTGTGCTTGAAACGCTCAAGCAGAAGGAGGGTTCAGAAAGGAGAAAAGAAAAGATAAAGGAAAAGCAAAGCTAGGGTTCCTTGCTTCAATTTGCCACTGGAATCGGGTTTCTGGGTCGGATTATCCAATTTACGCTTATCTTTTATATCTTATTGTGTCGGGCTTGTTAACATCTTTGGTGCCTTTTTATAAAATTACTTTGAAATTATACTAATAAAAATATCTAATGTAGTAGAAATAACATATTTTATTTGATAACTATGCATAATATTAAGATACAATAATATTTATAGTCATAATGCAAAAAATTACTCGTATATATAATTAACCAGTTTATTTATATAATTGTAGCGAGACATTTATATGAAAATTGTAACATCAAGAGTAAAATTACAATTTGTATGCATAATTAAATAAATAGTATACATTAAAATTTAAATGAAATATATTAATTTATAATAAAATATATTAAATAATTAATCCATAATAAATTATATTAAATAAAATTGATCATTATTAGTGTACCATTATTATTGTCACAATCTACTTTTAATAAATCTACTTTTAATATATAAAAGTTAATTACCACCATAATTACTTAATTACCCTAATTACAATCCATAATATACCTAATTTCATGTTCCTATAAGTAATTTCGTAATAAACTCTTTTTAATACTCTAACTAACCCTACCATTTTGCAATTTAATAAATTTGTCTCGACAACATAAAGAAACGCTTTTTCCTATTTCTTGCACGCCGAAAATTTCCTTGGGAACACAACAGTCTTCATGCCTTCTTCTTCAAGAATGTTGCTAATCAATTCGATGTTATATATGTGTAACATCAAAGGTTGGATCCTTTTCAGCATTTTGCCAATCCTTCTACAATTCTCTCTCAAACAAAGGTACGTTTTTAACAGATTTATACATTTTCACCATTTTTTTCTTTATCTTTTTTTTGTCAATCCTTTTGCCAATCCTTCTACAATTCTCTCTCAAACAAATGTACATTTTTAACAGATTTATACATTTTCACCATTTTTTTCTTTATCTTTTTTTTTGTCAATCCTTCTACAATTCTCTCTCAAACAAATGTACGTTTTTAACAGATTTATACATTTTCACCATTTTTTCTTTATCTTTTTTTTGCCAATCCTTCTACAATTCTCTCTCAAGCAAATGTACGTTTTTAACAGATTTATACATTTTCACCATTTTTTTTCTTTATCTTTTTTTTCTCCAAGTTATTAGGTTTGTAATTTTATAGTCATCTAAATTTGCAGTTACATTAATTTTTGAATTTTTTTCCAATGAAAATGAGTAGAAAGGTTGATTCTGTGAAAGACATCAATGACTCAAAAGAAACTTGGCGTCTTGCTGTTCGAATAATGGATGTTTGGAGTGTTGTGAATAATAAGGGTATTGAACATTTGGAGATGATTGTTATGGATTCCTTGGTAAATTGCTTTTCTTTTTTTAAGTATAGATTTTTGATGATAGTTAGTAATTACAACAAAATGCTTTTTTGTATAACATATAAAAAGAAGATTATTTTTATTTTGTGAAAATGAGTAGAAAGGTTGATTCTGTGAAAGACATCAATGACTCAAACTTGGCGTCTTGCTGTTCGAATAATGGATGTTTGGAGTGTTGTGAATAATAAGGGTATTGAATAAATTGATATTATTATTATTAATATTGTTATTTATTATATAGTATTATAACTCAACATATTGTAAATAATTAAGGTGGACTAAGAAAATGGGCCCCACTAAATCCCACTATATGATTGCCAAATATTATCGTTATTTGATTTTCTTTAAATGACAAAATGAATTTTTTTAATAATGAATATACTGATTTTTTAAGTGGTCTTTCTGAGATGTCAAACCGAGAATATGAAAAGAGGGAGAAGTAATATGATGAAAATTAGGGTTTTATTTAATTGAATAAATTGATATTATTATTATTAATATTGTTATTTATTAATATTTATTATCATCATTATTAATCCCATTTACCCACTTAATAACTCAAAATATTCCAAAACCACTGTTTCAAAACCACTGACAATATTATACCATTTTAAATGTAATGGATACAGATATGCAACTTCCAATACACGTGTTTCAACCCTAAAAAATCAGTATATTCACACCTTTCACTTCAATATTTTTTGCTTATATTTGAAGCAAACTATCCCAAAAGTAACCATCATTAATGCTCTACTTTAACATCACGTCAAACCTATATCTATCATACTTTTCAATAAAGGTAGAAACCAAATTTGAATAATATAATATTAATTTTTTTCAATCTAACAAATTTATTTCATTCCCCTATAAGATTACTAAAATACAATTTTAAATTAATTCCAGGTACAATATTCTGTTTGGATTCATATATTTAAAAAAAATCATTATGTAATTGCAATTTTTATAAATTCATTCTGTACATTGACAATATTTTTTCTTAATACTGTTTTTTTCTTACATTGACAATATTTTTTCTTACCTATTTATACTACTAAAAAATATTACCGTTATTTTATTGTTGCAATCTTATCATTCCAAAACGAAATCAATATCCTGAAATCAAATTAATTATTATTGTAGTTTTTTTTGCCAAATATTACCAATCTCACGTCATTATATATAGTATTATAACTCAACATATTTAAATTATTTATTTTCCAAAATATAGTTGGGGGTTGAAATGAATAATTATGTCAACTGCCTCCTTTCTATTGGCTAGGTCAGTGGAGTATTAAAATAATTCAGCCGTAAGATAATTAATGCTATGCATGATTTGTAATAAATCAATAAGAATATCAATTCTTTATACATTTAGTTGTACAAGAAAATTATTGTAAATAATTAAGGTGGACTAAGAAAATGGGCACCACTAAATCCCACTATATAATTGTCAAATATTATCGTTACTTGATTTTCTTTAAATGACAAAATGAATTTTTTTAATAATAAATATATTGATTTTTTAAGTGGTCTTTCTGAGATGTCAAACCGAGAATATGAAAAGAGGGAGAAGTAATATGAAACGGTTTGATGAAAATTAAGGTTTTATTTAATTGAATAAATTGATATTATTATTATTAATATTGTTATTTATTAATATTTATTATCATCATTATTAATCCCATTTACCCACTTAATAACTCAAAATGTTCCAAAACCACTGTTCCAAAACCACTGACAATATTATACCATTTTAAATGTAATGGATACAGATATGCAACTTCCAATACACGTGTTTCAACCCTAAAAAATCAGTATAATCACACCTTTCACTTCAATATTTTTTGCTTATATTTGAAGCAAACTATCCCAAATGTAACCATCATTAATGCTCTACTTTAACATCACGTCAAACCTATATCTATCATACTTTTCAATAAAGATAAAAACCAAATTTGAATAATATAATATTAATTTTTTTTCAATCTAACAAATTTATTTCATTCCCCTATAAGATTACTAAAATACAATTTTAAATTAATTCCAGGTACAATATTATGTTTGGATTTATATATTTTTAAAAAAATCATTATGTAATTGCAATTTTTATAAATTCATTATGTACATTGACAATATTTTTTCTTAATACTGTTTTTTTCTTACATTGACAATATTTTTCCTTACCTATTTATACTACTAAAAAATATTACCGTTATTTTATTGTTGTTGCAATCTTATCATTCCAAAACGAAATCAATATCCTGAAATCAAATTAATTATTATTGTAGTTTTTTTGCCAAATATTACCAATCTCACGTCATCATATATAGTATTATAACTCAACATATTTAAATTATTTATTTGCCAAAATATAGTTGAGGGTTGAAATGAATAATTATGTCAACTGCCTCCTTTCTATTGGCTAGGTCAGTGGAGTATTAAAATAATTCAGCCGTAAGATAATTAATGCTATGCATGATTTGTAATAAATCAATAAGAATATCAATTCTCTATACATTTAGTTGTACAAGAAAATGATTGTAAATAATTAAGGTGGACTAAGAAAATGGGCACCACTAAATCCCACTATATGATTGTCAAATATTATCGTTACTTGATTTTCTTTAAATGACAAAATAAATTTTTTTAATAATAAATATACTGATTTTTTAAGTGGTCTTTCTGAGATGTCAAACCGAGAATATGAAAAGAGGGAGAAGTAATATGAAACGGTTTGATGAAAATTAGGGTTTTATTTAATTGAATAAATTGATATTATTATTATTAATATTGTTATTTATTAATATTTATTATCATCATTATTAATCCCATTTACCCACTTAATAACTCAAAATATTCCAAAACCACTATTCCAAAACTACTGATATCATTTTAAATGTAATGGATACAGATATGCAACTTCCAATACACGTGTTACAACCCTAAAAAAATCAGTATATCCACACCTTTCACTTCAATATTTTTTGCTTATATTTGAAGCAAACTTTCCCAAAAGTAACCATCATTAATGCTCTACTTTAACATCACATCAAACCTATATCTATCATACTTTTCAATAAAGATAGAAACCAAATTTGAATAATATAATATTAATTTTTTTCAATCTAACAAATTTATTTCATTTCCCTATAAGACTACTAAAATACAATTTTAAATTAATTCCAGGTACAATATTCTGTTTGGATTCATATATTTAAAAAAAATCATTATGTAATTGCTATTTTTATAAATTCATTATGTACATTGACAATATTTTTTCTTAATACTGTTTTTTTCTTACATTGACAATATTTTTTCTTACCTATTTATACTACTAAAAAATATTACCGTTATTTTATTGTTGTTGCAATTTTATTTACATTATTGAAACTAGTGTTGCTGAAAATGAGTAATTGGTTCAAAATACGAATCATAGAGTATTATATTAAGTAAATAAT